GCTTTGCAGATATTTTCTCCCCTCCTGTGGGGTTTTCTCTTAGCCAGTAATATCCTTCGATACAGTTTTTTTTTTTTTTTTTTTTTTTTTTTTTTTGGTCTTTTTGCGACAGGGGTCTCCCTGTGCAGCTCAGGCTGGCCTCAAACTGGCAATGACCCTCCTGCCTCAGCCTCCAGAGTGCTGGGATAAGAGGCGTGTGCCACCACGCCTGGCCATTGGCTGAGATTTTTGAACAGGAGGAAATATCCTGGTAATCAGAAACACCCAGCTCACAGTTTTAAATTTTGATGAAATCCAGTTTATCTCTTTTTGTTATTGTTTGTGTTTTGTTTATTTTTCCTTTGGTAGCTCATGTTTTTTTGTGTCAAATCTAAGAACTTATTACCAAAATCAAGGCCTTGAAGAGTGACTTCTGTGCTTTCTCTGCGGAGTGCTTTGGTTTTCCCTCCTATGCTCCGTCATCGCTTCCTTCCAAGTTAATTTTTGTGCAGGACGTGAGGGAAAGGTCTGACTTCACTCCTTTGCGGGTCCCAGCACCAGTACTGAAGTTTGTGGATATTCTTCTGCTTTGATTTTGTTTGTTTTGGGTTTTCTTCTGGAGGTTGAACCCAGGACCTTACACTAAACTATATTCCAGGTGCTTTTTATTTTTTAATTTTGAGACAGGGTCTAAATTACCAGGGCTGGGCTCAAACTCCTACCTTGGCCTACCAAGTGGCTGGGATTACAGGCTTGTGTCACTATGCCTGCTGTTTCTGGTCTGATTTTCTTTTTTGGTAGGGGAAGGTACAGTTTGAGACTGAGCCTCACTATGCAGTTCAGGTTGGCCTGGAATTTGTGGTGATCCTCCTGCCTCAGCCTCCCGAGTGCTGAGATTACAGGCATGAGCCACCATACCCGGCTTATTATTATTATTATTTTTTTTTTGAGACAAGGCCTCCCTGTGCAGTTCAGGCTGGCCTTGAGCTCACTTTTTAACCAAGGCTCGCCTCAAACTCACAACCATCCTCCTGCCTCAGCCTCCTGAGTGTGGGATTACAGGCTTGTGCTTGTTTTCATTTTTAAAACAAGCCACACCTGGCTTGTTTTAATTTTTAAAACAAGATTAAATTGCCCAGGCTGGGCAATTTAGATCTTGCAGTCTTCCTGTCTCAGTCTTCCTGTCTCAGTCTCCCGGAGTACTTAGCGTGCAGGTGAGCACCACCACGCTCTGCTGTGCTAGGACTCTCGGGCACATTCCTTCCCAGTACCACTCTGTCACCTCAGGAGTCTGCTTCGCTGTCACAGCGGCCCCACCTCTGTTGCGCTAGGATAGTGACAGCAAACCTTCAGAGCGAGTGCCCAAACTTCAGTCTTCAACACTCTTATGTATTACGAAGTGCCAGTGCGCAATTAAAACTGAATATCCAATGCTCAGTGGCTGGGGTGACCCGGCTCATGTGTGCCGCAGGTTCGCCACCACTGCCCTACGGCTCCCAGCCTGGGGCCCCGGGTCCAGCAGCCCCTGAAGCAGCAAGACCGGAGTCAGGTCCTTCCTTCCCTCGTGGGGCTCCTGGGGCCGCAGCACCTGGCTAAGTCACCCACCTGCTGTTGGACGCGCACTTCCTGCTGTAAAGTGCTCGATCTGGAGGCTGATTTGTTCCGGGGCAATAGGTGACTAATTCACGCTTCCTGTTCCTTACCCGACACTTTTCACAAGAGCAGCAGCCGGCACTTAGGGACAGAGCCCCCAGGCAGCAGACTGTGCCCCGCCACCTGTGTCCACTGCCACAGCCCTGGCTCGCGGCAAACATGCGCTGAGCATCCTAAGGCCGCCTCCGTGTTCCAGCCACGAAAACTCACGTCCCAGGAAGCGCTGACTCGCCCAAGGTCGCACAGCTGAGGAGTGATAAATCAGATCGGAAACCATTGAACACTTCCTCCTTTGCTGGGTGTGGTGGGGCACACCTGTGATCCAGTGCTCTGGAGAGGCTGAGTCAGGAGGATTACTTTTTTTTTTTTTGAGACAGGGTCTCACTATGCAGCTCAGGCTGGCCTTAAACTCACTATAAAGCCCAAGTTGGCCTTGCACTCACAGCGATCTTCTGCCTCCGCTCCCAAATGCTGGGATTACAGGCGTGCGCCACCATGCCTGGCAGGAGGATTACACTTTTGAACCCAGCCTGGACAACACAGCGATTTGGCAAGACCCCGTCTCGAAACCCAAAAGGAGTGGGAATATAGCTCAGTGGTAGAGCACTTGCTTAGCATGTATGACGCTCTGGGTTGTTCACTCCCCAGTACCCAAAAGAAAAGTTTTTTTAAAAGGTACAAGCTTTTTAAATTAGGGGTGGGGGGTGAGTACACCAAATGCTGGGGTGAAGGGGCAGAAAAATTAGATCATCCCTACACCGCTGGCAGGACTGTCCAGTGTTACAGCCCCTCTGAAAAACAGTTTAGCAGTTTGCTTAAAACAAAGCAAATCGGCTGGGGATATAGCTCAGCAGCACAGCACCTGCCTGGCTGTAGGGATCCGTTGGGTTCTTCCTGTGTCCCGGGAAAGAATGGCGGCAAGAATGAGGAAAAAATAGACAAGAGACAAAAGCTGGGATCAGGTGGAGGTCCTCTCTCTCAGTGGAGAAGGGGAACTGCCCAAGACCAGTACAGCGTTTATTTACACCCTCAAGAGGTTGGTTAATTTTCGCCTCACTGTCCAGCAATCAGTTAACAAGCTACAACAGCTTGTTTACATGCTTCGAGGCGCTCCCGTGTTCTCAGAGCTCCCGTGTTCTTGGGCTGGCTTCGTCTTGCACATGTAATTACTTTCCAGCTTCCACGGCTCCTGACACCTGGCAAGCATAAGGTCCTGAGTTCGAGTCCCAGTACCAAAAAAAAAAGGCAAAACAAAAAGTAAACGCAACTTGCACCTGACCCAGCAATTGCACTCCTGCAAGTTTATCCTAGAGAAGTGAACACTTCTATTCATACAAAAACATGTACACAAATGTTTATAGCAGATTTATTCATAAGAGCCCCAAAGTGGCTACAACACAGGACATTCTTCCAGAGCTGAGTGGTTAAGCATACTGTACATCCACACTGGGAAATACTACTCAGCAATCAAAAGGGAACATGCCATGGACACCCATAGCAACCAGAATGAATCTCCAGAAGATTCTGTTGAATGCAAATGCCAATCCAATCCCTAAAGGTCACATACATGTGATTCCATTAATAGACATGCCAAAACCATAGAAATGTAGCTGGGCATCGTATGTCCTTGAACTCTGGCAGGCTGAGACAGGAGGATCACAAGTTCCAGCCCAACCTAGACTACTTAGCAAGACCCTCTCTCTAAATGAAAAGCATAAAAACAGGTGAGGGTCTAGCTCAGTGCAAAAGCCCTGGGTTCAATCTCTAGTTAAAAAAGAAAAAAAAAAGAGTATAGAAAAGTAGGAGAGGTGAGTGATTGCCAGGGGTAGGGGAGAGCTGGAGGGACGTAGGCTGAGCCGTATAAAGGATCCTGTGGGGGATGGAATTTTTCTGTATCTTGCTGTTAACATCAACATCCTGCTTGTAACGTGGTAGCAAAGTTTTCTACAGTGTTATCATTTTTGTTTGTTTGTTTGGTTTTTTTTTGTTTTTCTCCGGTACCGGG